CGGGGAGCCCGGGGGGGGGTCTGGGGCCTGGTGGCCGCGGGGCTTTCAGGCCTCTTTGCCGGGCCTGCGGGGCGCAGGAGGCGCCGGGAGGCAGGAGCAGCGTTTAGGAGCCTGTGTGGAGCGGGTTTAGGGGTGCCCCGGGCCGTGCCTGGTGTTCCTCGGCCTTGGCCGGGCCTTTAGGGCCGCCCCCGGAGCGCTGCACAGCGCGGGGATTCGGGAAGGGAGCCCTCGGTTATCGTGAGGCGGTAGAGAAGTAAACGGGTACAGCAAAAGGCTTAGACTGTTATTACTCTGAGTTTTAACCTTAATTTGCCTATAAGGAGCGGATGCTCTTTAGCGTCAGTTGCCACTTTTGCCGAAGTTGGATGCCACAGGCCGGGTGGGCCGGTGTCTGCCTGGGCCGGTGATTTCTCTGCCTGTGCCACCTCTGGTGACCGCAGCTGGTGGAGCGGGTAGGAAAACCCCCTTCGGAAGAGGAAAGCTGTCGCTTTTTGCAGCAAGGTGGTCAAGGTTACCCTCGTCCCTAGCACACTGAACACCCCTCATCACCCAGAGAAGAGCAATCTTCAACCCATGCAAAATCTACTTGTATTTAAACAAATCCCCCGAACACCCAAAATGCAAACTTACTTCCCTTCCCACAGCAGCAGGTGCTGGTGAGGAAAGGCCATTTCTTTCCTTCTGCCTGCCCTTAGGTCTCATTTGTGGATTCTCAAACAGCTGTAGATTCCTATTCTCCTCATTCATCTCCCTAAAACAGGGCAAAGCAGAAGATAGGCAGGTCTACAGCTAGCGAGCTCCGCTTTTCATAACACAAGAATCCTAGGCTTCAGTAAAATCAAACTTTGAAGAGCACCATGGGTACTCTTAAGTGCAAGACAATCAGACACTGCCTGAAAAAATTCCACTGCAAGGCACAAGTTGGAGAACAACCAGTATCTTGTGTACATACAGGTTTGATAAAATATTACTGGTCATATGCAGAATACTACTTGACATATTTCCTGCCTCTCACCTGCTCTGATGTCCCCCCTTCCTTCCCCTCTAGAGGGAACAGAAGCTGGGGAGCGAAAGGCGCTGTTGACAGCTTTATCTGAGAACGGGCTGAGGCACAGTGCTGCATTATACTATGGCCTTTTAGGTTAATGGCCTTTTTAGGGGTCAGTTTTGTTCTCCCCCAAGTTTGTGCTTGTGAGACCAATGCTTCAGTCTCAGCCATTGGAAGTAGGTAAGTCAGTCTCGAGCTGGGCAGCCTGAAAATAAGGTACCCCCATTCTGGAAGTCTTGACTTTGTGTTCCTGCCTCCGTTCTGTTCCAACTTGCCTGGAGTTGGTCATGGTTAGGTCAGCATAGTCTCTCCTATCATAGCATTTCAGACAAAACCAAAGCCCACTTCCAGTTTACAAACTAACCCTCATGCCTGGGGTAGCTCCAAAACCCAGCAAATGTTGAACAATTTTTTTTAGTTGTTCCACAACAGCATTTTATTGAAGTCACATTTTGCAGACAGCTTGTGCAAAGAGAGCATGTTTTGGCAATATTTCTGCTAGAATAGTCTCCCTTCAAAAAGGTGCTTTCAAAGAAATGGCAACTTAATTTGGGGGTAGTAGAGTTACAGCAGGAGTCTGAACCGTGGAAAAAGAAAATGTTACGGTCTTGTCACCAGTTAAGAAATACAATTAACAGTGAGCGCGTAATGTCTGTTTCTTTAGGAAAAGATTAGACCTCAGTGTTTTATTCTATGAACTATCATTTGTTTAAAAAGCTTCCATTCTTCAGTAGAGCACATAAGACATTGCTGAGTTTCTCTAGTTAGACTAAAATTTTTTTCTTTCTCTCTTCCTTTTTGAATATTGATGCTGTTAGCCAGTATCTCAGCAGGCTTAAACTGGCACAACTTCACTGAAATTAATGTGCTATAGCAAAGTTATAATGCTGAAGAGGCTGACAGAATAATGCTGATAGAAAAGCCTCACTCCGATTCAAAATTGAGACTTTTAGGAACATAGATTTTTAAAGATTTAAGTCATTTTTGAAGTACTTTTGATTTTTAGGAAGTCTTTGACACTTCCCTCCACCCCCCCATCCCCCCAAGTGTTCATCTGTTTTTCAATGTTGCGTTCTGTTTCAGACATTCACCGGTAATTTTGTCTACTATATTCAATCTGTGCTCCCAGATGACATTGTAAAAACAGTACTGGAGAAAATAGGTTACATTGCAACAACAGCAACAGAGTTTTCACTTGTCAAAAAGAGAAACAATGAGGAAACAAAGCAGACTGCATTTGAAATATTCCTGGCAAGAATTGAGTGTGAAACCATCCTCGAAATGACAAATGAAGAAAAACATGGCAATTTGGAGAAGACCCTACAGAAGAGAACACAAATGCACCGGCACCATGGAAATAAGGACAAAGAGGATCAGACGCCCCAGAGAGAAGATGCTGAAAATCTAGAAACTAAAGAAAGCAGTGAGACGTCTTTGTGCCTTGCTACTCAACAGAAGTCTTCAACTAATAGCGATACAGCCTTTGAAGCTGGTGGGAATCTGAAGATCAAAGATGACGCGCCTCAGTTAGCAGTTACTCCACCCACTAACAGGCTTCAGAAACACCAAAGGCAAGTCATTAACACTGCACATTTCCCGGGCAAACGCTCAGACAGCGAGGACTTCTTGATCAAATATAGTGACATTGTCATAAGACAAACACCGATTTTCAGTGAGAATCCTTCTCCAAAAGCTTTTGAAAGCAAGCCAAGAGCCAGTCTCAGTGAAGAATGTGTTTTGGCAGTCACTGCAGAGTCAACTGCAAATGAGATCAGGCCTGTGCCACTCTCACCAGGAGCGAGCGGCCCGCCAGCCTTTGCAATATTTGCTGACAGCTCTTGTGACAGCAAAACCGCTTTGGAGTACAAAGCTCAAGAAGTCCCCGAAGAATCAATTGAAGCAGAAATTAACGATGCCATAAATTGCATAGACCCAGACCCTGCGGATGAACCCACTGAGCTGAAGTCTCTGCCGTACAAGGACATCGCGGCTGTCCAAAACTGCGGCGTTCCTAGGGAAGAGGAAGTTTGTGAGCTGTCTTTAACCTTCACAAAACTACAAATCAAGGACGCTCAGGAAGACCTTATGTTTCCAGTAGAGGAAACTGGCCAACCTGAGTCATATGCGAGTACAAGTGACAGGCACGCAAGAGAGTTTAATCACTCTAAAATAAAACATACATATCTGACTAATGCTCAGATGCAGAACAGAGCAGCTGCACACATCGAGCCATCTTCAGATCTGTGCTGCGCTGCTGGGAACGTGGAGGATTCCACTGCTGGTTCTGACACCAGGAGACTGTTAATGGATACCCCTAGCGCACACACAGCTGCTGAGTGCTTCAGGCACATCAGGGAGCCCCCTAACCTCACCTACATCCCACCACAAAGTATTGATGTTCGGTCTTCACGCGTGAGAAGGAGCAGCGCACAGGGCAGAAGGAACCTCTTGCAGCCTGAACGTGACTCTCCCGAATCCAGTGAAGTAAAGCTGGACAACTATAATTCCAAAGTAAACGAAATCCAGGAGCCTTATGTCATTATTGACAAAACCGACCAAGGAATGTTAGGCCATCACACTTGATTCTGCCAGTGCTTTATTTGTAATCTGCCTCGGTTTTTTCCTCTCACTTGTGGCCTTGATCACCTTTTCAAGGAGATGATTAACTTTGTCAAAACAGTTTTTAAAAAAAAAAAAAGAAAAAACACCACTGGCTTTTGGGCAGTAAAAAACGGGAGTAGGTGAGCAAATTCTTAATGGGCCCTTCTCATCTGGAACCTTTGGCACTGAAACCGGCGTGGTCACCTTTCTAAAGCGCAGACAACTTCCATAAATTTAAATACATTTAATTAATTAGCCAGATTCCTTCTGGCTCTACTTAATGCCAGACAGGTTTATTCAGTTAAGCATACTTTTACTTTTTTCTTCTTTTTTCCCCCCCTTTTTTTTTGTTGTTGCTCTACAGACCTATTCCTGGAGTATTCTTCAAGTATAGCATGTTGTACAATGATAGAAACGGGTCAGTGTTTCTAAACTGGAGGACCCAACTTCATAGCTTTACCAATGCTATACTGGAGCATACTTCTCTTAACTCATTGCATTCCTATGAAGCTCTGCTCTGAACTAATCTCACTTTTGCTTTCAGTTGAAAGTAAGTTTAGAAAGTCTGATAACCTTCCTTTAGGTTTAAAGAAGAAAACAGCCCTCTGAATGCTTTTAGTTGTATTTTTGTATTAGGAGTAAGAGTGTAGATCTTATAGAGGCAATAACCTGTATTACAGGTTTTATACCTGTCTCCACTTGTTACCAAAATTTTTTGTGGTTACCACAAGTTTCAAGCGAAGCAGTGAGCGCTGTAATCATTCACCGTGACCAGAAGAGGGAGATCCAGCTAGAGCTGCCATTTCCCTTGCCCCTGATCTGCCACTGGACTCCGCACCCACTCTGGAGCTCACTGGGCTTTTCCGTCAGCCACTGTATCGCACTGCCACGAAGGGACAACGCTGCCGTTCTCTGCCATTTTAGGGGCAGATCAGAGGAGGGTCCCGGTGAGCATCAGAGCATCAGGATAAGGGCTGTCCTGTAGGCGGAAGCGTTGCGTGACAAGCGTTGTGCTGTGAAGCAGAGGGAGCAGGATTGTTAGCTCAGCTCAGCTGCAAGGTGGAGTCCCAGCGCTGGGAACCTGTCGCACACAACACTGAATGCCGTTTGGAAAAGCACGCAGTCACTGGTGCTGTATTTCAGCACAACTCCAATGCTTCTCTATACACTTGTTACCTAGAAGGACAGTTTACTTTAATACCGCTTGAAGTAACTTCTCCAGTAGCACTTCAATGCTAAGAATTTTTTGTATTTTCATGCATAGTTAAAATACTAGCTGAAATTAATTTAATATAAATTGTTTATAATTGACTTTCATCCCCCCAAAATTCCAAGAGGAGTGCATGGATTACACTAGAAAAACCTCAGAGGCTAAAACGTAAAGATCCATTTTGTGAACAAGTAATTGTTGCAGTCTGATCCCAAGAGTGCAGGAGGAGTAAAACTTTGCCCAAGCGAACATCAAGTGACAGCACTGCCCTCAGCTTTGGGTAGTGGGGGAGAAACAGGTACCGTAAATGTGCACACACAAACCAGTGCTGCCGTACTGGGTCTGGCTAGGACTGAGAGAGCTTTCTTAATAGCAGCCCCTGGGGTGGTGTGTTTGGGCTGCGTGGCTAAAATTGTTGATAATGCACCAGTGTTTCACCTATTGCTGAGCAGTGCTTGCACAGTGTCGCAGCTTTCTCTTTTTGTAACCACCCCCCCAATGAGTAACTGGGAGAGGACACAGCCGGCTGGAACTGGGCAAAGGGATATTCCGTACCAGGTAACATCACACTTGGCAATAAATTTGGGGTAGCAGAAGAAGGGGGAGTGTCTACCAAGGTGGCCATTGCTCAGAGACTGGCTGGGTCCACTTGTGGTGGTGAGTCACTGTCATTGCATCACTTGGGGGTTTTTCACCCCCCGTTCCTTCACTTATTAAACCTCTATCTCAACCCAAAAGCTCTCTTGATTTTGCTCTTGCTATTCTCCCCTGTCCTGCTGGGGAAGGGGGAGTGAGCAGCCGTGTCAGTGCCTACCTGCTGCCTGAGTCGACCCACCACAACCTCCCTGCTCTTCTTTCAAGTACCCAGCTGGTCTTCCTAACCGTTTTGGGTTTTATAAGCTGTATTTTCCCCCTGTGGGGGTTATTAAAATAATATGTTTTAAATCTTGTATTGTGTCAATTATTCATGAACTCTTAATTTAAAACTGCAAAAACCCCTTCTCATCACAGATTATCTCCCAAGTATTCAGATGACCACCAGTAATACAGGATTCATATCCCTAATATCCAATTTTTATCTTACTGTAGCCATACAAGGAAAAGTATTTAACAGCAAACTAAAGACTGACCACTTGAAAAGACACCATCTTGGGCACCTCAATCCATACTGCTGGCCTTCATGAAACTTGTTTCGTTATCATCTACTGTGAGAAACACTCATGTCTTTACTAAACATCCTGTGATGGACCTATGCTCAATTGTTTGTCTTCATGGCACCTGACACATAGGAGACATGGATCTTCACTTTGCCCCGTAGTGAGCAGAGTTTTGGACCAGCATCACCCATGTGCAGGAGCTTATGAACAACCGGAACAACCTCACATGGGGAAAACAAAACATACAGAGGGTCTTTTGGAAGAGAGGAAGCATAGCCCTGCCTGGCTAACAGTGCCCCACAGCTTCAAGTCACAGGAACGCTGGTGGAGACAGTTAAAACTGTCAAACAAACACCAAACAAACAGTTAAAACTGCATAAACACTATTCAATATAAAATGGCCATATTCTGAGAATCTACTTTTTATTAATGTTTGAGTACCTGGATTGAGGAAGAATCTCCTCTTCGCAGCAGATCGGTCAGGACTGGTAAGTGTTCCGCCTTTGCAGGGAGAGCTACTGTGCACTCTGAGTCTTCTGGATATTTTCATCCGAGTTTCTGACTGCTGCAAGAACACCTTTAACTTCTCTTCCTGTATAAGTGGTAGGGTTTTGAGGTCTTGTACTAGAAACTACTTTTGTATTGGCAAATTTCTGGGGTCTCAAGAGACAACTGCTTCGCAGTTGCTTCACAAGATGCTTATGAAGAGACCGGGTTTGAAAACCAGCTGAAATAACAGGTAAGTCGTATTTCATAGGCAGCAGTCCTTTGTGCAGCTGCTTGCACGTGAGTAAGGTAGAACTGGATTTAAAATCCTGGTTGTAAATACACTCAAGACGTGAGAAGAGGGACAGACAAAAGGGACCATAAGACTTCTGACCCCATCTGCCAGTGCTCTCCTGCCCCGTTGGGAGTAACCACTGCACCTCTCTTTGGCTAATTAACTTAAGTAAGAGCACCCACTCAAGCAGCACTGCTAGCCAGCAAGAGCACTGCCCGGGCCCCTTTCTAAAGGAAGGTGATTTGTGTTTGTAAAATGTGTGCCTACCCTCTGGTGAGCCGTCAGCTTTAATTGTGCTACAGCTGGTCCTGACTGTCCGTGAACTGAATGGGGATTTACTGAGCGATTGGCTGTCTCTCCATCAGAGAGACAGAAGGCCAATTCTGTTCCCAAATTGGTATGCTACGCACAACCACTCTGAACGGCTCAGCTCTCCCAAGCCTTGGACTGGAGAAATTCTCCTTTGATGAGCGCAGACACGGAGCCCGGGCGGCAGAGCTGGGCGCCGGGTGATACTCACTCGCACACCCTCTCCCCACTGGGGCTCCTGCAACGGTCCGTTCCCTCCTTAACATCCGTCATGCGCACCCCCCCTTGCCCTGTCGGAGCCGAGATGCTCAAGAAGCACAGCTTGGGTTTAGAACAAACTCTGTTGTTTTTAAAGCCAAGAATGAAAACCAAATTTCAGTGTTAAAACACACACACCAAAAAAAAAAAAACAAAACACCACACAACTGGAAAGCATGCAAACACTAAATGAATTTTAAAAATTACAATTTGCTTCAGAATTATCTTAAAAACAATTCCCTGAGACACTAAGTATACCTGAGAGAGACTGGCAAGGGCTTGCAAAGCACTGATGAAGATAAACATCGTTTAGAGCTGTGTCACTGCAAAAAGACAATTTCTGAAACACTGCTTTATCATTTTTTACCTTACTTGTACCTAAACACTGGGAGAATAACCACCAGTAACCCACCACCACCACTGGAGGTCCCACCCACTGGAAATGAACTGGCACAGCTCTCTAAGCGAGACAGCTGACTGAATCCCACATGGCTCCTTTTCACAGCATTAAATAAGGAAAAAATGAAATTAGGATTGGGACGGAATACAGTGACATCTGCAGAGCAGCACAGTTGCAGTGGACATCCCGACAGCTCCGTACTTCCTGCGGTGTACGCGAGGGAGGAATCTATCCCTGGTACCAGGCAGAGGGCTCTAGGGTGGAGCAGAGGCTACTCCAAAGCCTTCTGGCATAAAAATAAGTAAAATCAAGTAGTACGCGTGCAATACACAGGTAACACAGCTCCTCTGTTGTGTCACTCTCCTTAGTGAAGCTCTATATCTGTTCAGGCAGAGATCACTCTTGTAGGTGTGTGTTTACACAACACTTAGCAAAGTGGTGCCTGATCCTGACACAGCACAAGTAATTCTCACATGCCCACCTCTTAAAAAAATGGCAAATGATCAATTAAAATAATTGATCTGGACTGCACAGAAGACTACATTTCTCTTACGTAGGCATTGATCTACCAACTGCCAGTTTTTGTTCTGAAACTAAACTTTTAATTTTCAAAAAAAGCTCGCAACTTTCTGTTGGCCCCCTCAAACACCCTGGGGGGGGAAAGCCACCACCATCAATTCTCACCTGATTTTATCCTACTTCAGAAATGCACAATATTTACTTAAACCTCCACACACAACAGGAAGGACTGGAGTAAAGTACCCAAGGAAGATCTCCTGAACACGCTTCCCATGCCCGAAGAAAGGCCAGGCTAAGCAAATGCAACTGCAAAATGATACAATTTTTGCCAGTGTCTCTATCTTACCT